TTGTTAACAAGGTCATCATAACGACCATATAATTTCCGAAATGATGACTTTAAACAAGGTTGTTGAAAGCCTATCTTATCTGTCAATAGCCTGCCTTGGTTTAAAAAAAAATGATCGTACTCTGAGCATGCTCTTGAGTATCTAAGTTGGGAGACGTAAACACCAAATGCAGGTGATAGCGGAATATATCTACAAAATAAGGAAAGTTGACGATGGAAAAGCTGAAGTCATCTCGTTTGTCATACAATTTAGTTGTTAGTTGGTCCTTATCTTCTACAGTCAGTAAGATATCAAAATATGAAACAGATTTGGCAGACATCTGTGTTGTCTTTAATTTCAAGTTCACAGGGATATATCGAATTGACCTATGAATGTAAGTAACTATTGTTAATTGATAAAACGTCGCCGATATATCTGAATGTCGAGTTTAAGGCAACAGGAATTGTCTTCCTCTTCTCATGTAGAAATTTTTGAAAGAAATGATATATTATAAATTCTGAAGTTTTAAAAATTAATAGTCAATACATTTTTGTAACATTTGAAGGGTAAACTTAAAGATTTATGAATTTATTTTTGCGATCTTTTTTGAGTCATTATTATTTTTTTTTAAGTTTATGTCTTAACAAAAAGTGAAAAGTTTCAAAAATTTAATATGCTTAAATTAAATTTTAGACAATAGCCAGGAATGGTTACGTAAGACTCAAGATTCTCCAGAAATCAGACACCGGAAGCTATACTTGCTTTGTCCAAAATTCAGATGACAGTCTACGTCTACTTTACCTTCCGTTTGGTTGTTGTAGGTAAGATTGCTAAAAAAATGAAAGAAAAAAAAAGAAAGAAACTGAAGCAGCATCACTTAGTTACAATTCAAAAGCAAATCACAACTTCTTATCATACTTTTTTCAAGTAAACAGTTACAGCATAATATTAAGTTAAACATTAATTAAATGACGTAAATAATTGAATGTGTTAAACAAAGTATTTTTCTTGATATCAAATTCACATTTCGAAAACATGTTAATTTTGGGAATGCATTAAAGGAGGGGTTATGATAATGGCCAAATTTGGCCCATTATTTGATGTAAAAATCAGAACACACTTAAAATGCCAAAACAACCACCAGAAATATAACAAACACCACAGTGAAACCTAACACCAACTTCACAATAACAACCACCACAACAGAAGCAATAACAAACAACACTACTCCAACCACCACCATTACAACGACGCCACGACCAATAACCCAAAAGTTCTATGATACATTTCCCAGATACCACAGACAACTAGGATCTTGAGAGTAATATAATTTTAACTTTCTTAGCATTTAAGGTGCAATTTCATCATCAAGACTAACAAAAACAATGAGCAATTGCAATCAATATTTTATTTTTAAAAGAACGAGAACAGGCAATACATGTAGTTCTCCCATGGTTTGTAGTTGGATATGATTTTTTCTCCAATAGTTGTGTGTTCTTATCCCCTCGCTAAGGCTCGGGGATAAAAACACACAACGAGTTGGATTTAAAAAACCTCGTATCTAACCACAAACCATAGGAGATTCTTTTTATCACGTGTTTTACACATAGCTATTACATATTTTACACTGTTTTACTGTTGTAAATCCACAATATGTGACTTGATCAAATTCAGACAAAAACCATTGTGACTTCACACCCTTGGATATAAAACGATATCCCAAGCTATATCCACCGTATAAAGGAATAAACATGTGATAATATACAAATATTGCTGTTTTGAGGTCAATATATCGACTTAGTCACCTGAGAAGTACAATATTCAATGATTAAATGATACAAACTCGCTAAGCGAGCCATGGTATCTTTTTTAAATTGTTTACATGTGTTGAAGTCCTGGCTAAACAAAGTGAGAGAGCAGGGTTAAAATAAACATAACCAGTTGCATCAATTTGGAATTGTCTGACAGAATAAAAATAAATGGTCAGGCACATGGTATATATTTTGAAAGGGGGGGGGGGGCAGGAAGGAAAATAATTGACAATGTACCTATAAAGAAATCACTGACAAGCATAAAAGAGAGAATTCTCCACACTCCAAAGTCGTATTTCCTTGGGGGGAGGATGTATTGTCCATGAACATTGGAGGAATTTGAATATAAAAAGTGAAGGGGGAAGGCAAGCTTTCTTGCAATGAAAGGTTTATCCTAAATTAATATAGTAAACATTTGATTTTTAAAATAAGGAGAAATGGGGCACACCCTTCTATGCCCGGCCCCAATCTTTAACACACATACAAATACCACGTGCTGAATGTAACATTTATCTGAGTAGAAGTCGAATGCCGGTGAACTTATCGTATCAGTATAGAAGTTCCCATTCTATTTTGAGTCCAATGTAGAAAAAAATAAATCCCTTTGTTAACCTGGAAGGTCGTGTGACGATGATATAACGTAGTGTTTTTCTACAAAGTTGGATGTCAGCAATTCGGAGAGGTTTGAATCATTCAATCATATTATAATTTTATTTACCCCCTTTCTCTTTATTGACCTAAGGGAACGCATCATTTCAGGATTAATGTTAAAGGTTCATTAGTTATTAATAGCAAGGCTTAGTGATCAATATTAATATTTATTTCAATTTTCTCAGTCATATAACTTAAATACAATCTTAACAGAATTTAACATACAACGTCCACCGACCAGTAAAGAATCAACACAGCATGATGAGGCAGACGAGGAAACAACTTCAAATACAATTTACATAATCGTGGGTGTGGCCGTGGGGGTCGTGCTCGTGATAATGTTTGTGGTATATTATTCCAATCGGAGAAAGATGTCATATAATACAAATACACACCAATATGAGAAAATATGAATAACACCTCAGGAAATGAGACTTAAGTAAGCTCAGGGATGAGAAAATAAGCTGGTATATTTGTATAAATCGGCAACTCCGACAACTGACAACATGAGCATGTTGTTTAATAAAACCTGAATTGTATTTTTTTTTCAAACTATGGGGGTTCAGAGACTTTTATGGGTATTTTTGTCCTTTTCTCAACTTTCTTTATTATAGGAGAGAAATATGAATTGATTAAATTTTACAATCATTATGCATGCTTTCTTCGAGTATTGAAATTTCATGTATCAATTTCTATTACTCATATATATATTGGAATATCTTTTGATATTCAATTGGGTCATTATGATATCTTATAGTATTTAAGTTTTTCGAACTTTTGTCCAGTCCCAAAGCACATGTGCAATAAAATATATGCAAATCATAATATCTTAAAATAATCCACAAAAATTTCCAAGTTTTGTTTTCTAACAAAGCTCAATATCTTAACAAGTGTGTACAGTGTATATTTTATTATGTAGCCAACCATATCTGTTAAATACTTGGTTTTTACATTATTGAGAGAGGACACCTCTTCTATCAAAATACGGAATTGTTCTTTAATCATGTCTTTGTAGTATTCCGGATCTGAGTTATATTTTAGTCTGTTATTGAGAAAACACAGTGCATAAATACTAAAGGACACATGCAAATTAAAGTTGTTTTTAACTTTTTCTCTAGTTCCTGAAAATCAAACACGTTTATGAGACTCTTATGACGATGTATACAACTTCTAGAACTCATTTTGAGGAAATATCAGCTTCAGCTACTAGTATATAATTAGTCTCTTTCTCATTGAAAAATCAGTATTTTCATCATTTGACATTTTTCAAAACTCCTGTTAATGTATTATGATTTTTTTTTGTCTTAGAGCATCGGAATGTACTTTAAAATTTAATTAACTGTAGAATATCTTGCAAAATTATCGAAGATACTATACGTAAAGTATGTTCTTAATAAAAGAAGTTTTATAAATGTTTGCTCACGTGTTGATTTATATAACAAAAATTTTCGAACAGAAGATTTAGATTGATTGAAAATCAAGCACATTATATATGCCATATGGGATTTGACTTTAGATAAATTACTACTGAAGTTGAAAATTTTATGAAGTCAAAAATTCATACTTCAATTTATAATTTTAGATTTATCCCTGTCTTTAAAAACAGTCTTGTGGAATGATTTATTACAGAAGTTAAAAGAATATGTTTGGAACGCACTGTCAGTATCATATGCGATGCATAGCAGTTTTTGATATTGTCATGTAAACAAACATTATTTGTTTGTGTTAAATTCTTGGTGTCGCCCACGTGGCACAGTGGTTCGAGCGTTCGTTTTAGAGTCGCGGAGTAAGGAGTTGATACTTACGTCGCGGGTTCGAATCCCACTGTGGGACGTGGAGACCAGTCCTTCGGATATAAACCGAGGTCCCGTGTCGCAGTAGGTGTTGGCACGAAAAAGATCCCTCACTGATCAATGACCCTGAGTGCCAAGTATAGGCCAAAATTTGCAGCTCTCCACCGGCAAGTGGAGGCGTCTCCATATTAGTGAAAATTCTCGAGAGGGACGTTAAACAATAAACAAATAAAATAATTTCTTGGTGCATCACAGCAAATTATTTAACACCGGGTACTTCTTATTAACCTTTTAAAATTTTCTTTCTGGGCAGTGCCGTCGCGGGAAGGACAATCCCCACCGAACAGTGCTAACAGTATTAACTTTTACTTTATGAAATACACCTTTTGTATTTTTTGTTTTAATTATTATTCTTTAAATCTATGCACTATCACGCCTTTATAAATGTTACTCAAATTATGTCGGAAGATATTGTGAGAGACGGCTAGAAAATTTAGGGGCTTTGGAAATAAAGTGTTCCTTGACATTTGGTCAAGTTTTTTAAAAGTTGATTTTGACAATGCTTCCTTCTTGTTTCATTTAAACTTTGGCCCAAGATTGTTTTCCATTTTCTTATTGGAGAGCATGAGGAAGAATGTTGTAACTGTTTTTAAAATCTTAAATAGCGGAAACGAACCAAATTTGCATTATGAAAAAAAGTAAACATTCTTTTCATAAATCGTGAACGTAACATGTATTTTGTATCATGCCACCTTTTGAACGTTTGGGTATATATTTACTGGTTGGCAGTAATTGTCTTGCATCATTAGTTGATGGTCAAATACAAAAGAAGCGTAAGTATTGTGAAATATTTTACTAAGGGAATATAATGCAGAATGTCTTGCGGCTGTCTTTTTCAGTATTGATTTCAAAAATCAATTAAGTTGTATGTTTTATTATTTAATTTATCGTTAATTTGACTAAATGTATTATGAATTTTGTAATTTTATCATGTTTTCAAAATCATGATGAATATAGTTTCCTCTCTAGTATTTAGATGTTCCCATTTTGCACGATTAACTGATTAGCAGCTATGAATTAAGTTTTCACAGATTGCAATTGAATATAATTTTCATTGAAATGTCTTCCACATGTCTTTTTGATCCGTCGGCATGTTTTTTTTTTCAAACTAAAGTCTTCTCATTTCATATTAAATTTCAACTGAAATGCTTGTGATTGAGTTTCATCTAGGAATGCATGTTTCTCGGCCACATTAGTCTAGAAAATGCATTGCGTTTGAGAAAATTTCTTGTACTCATCAGGTGCGATGGATATTTTACCACATGGGCTTATTCAGAATTTCATAGAAAACATTTTGTATATATATGTAATACCTGTATTTAGCAGCGTGTTATAACTCAAAAGCGCAAAAGATATCTAAAACGAAATGTAGTTTCTACACGTTCATTGACCTTAGACAATCCTGATTCAAACCAAAATAAAAATAAAAAAGGAAGACTGGACCATACTCAAAACATGGAAACAGCATATTAATAAAAAGATGTGAAAATCACTCTAGCAAGAAAGGTGTTTATCCCCCTCTCCACCAAAAAAGTTTTATGAAACTTAGTACTACATAAGTACTACAAAGTAAATTATCCATAATGAATATAAAAAAGGCTATAATAGAATTGCAAAATTAATCATATCTTTTTGTTTAGGCCTTTGTTTAGTAGTAATATATTTAATTCCAGAATTTGCATTTAGTTCAATTATTTTTTTTAAGTCGTTAAGATACTTATTTCCTCAAGTTAAGCTTATATACAAAAAAATATAATATTCACTATTCGGGCATAATACAGAACTTAAACTTTATAAAAAGTAAATGTTAATGTTTAGAAATAATACGCACAAAAAGTTATTCAATTGTTTTTACGATGAACTAGAGAAATGTAATTACTGAATGTTTCACAGATATCAAAAAAAATCTTTAAAAAAATATGATGTACTTAAAGTGATATTGCATGTTTTTTCTGCAGATCTTTTTTTCAGAGGAAGCTTAAAATAATTATTAAAGTATGAAATAAGGAAAACATTGAAGTTCCTGAGTGATTCATTATTACAGAAAAATGAAATGTATTCTACATGTATATATATATATATAATAGTAGAAGTCAGTTATTCAAAATTATCATTACAAAATATTAACAAATAAAACATTTCGGTGAAAATGTACATACAGCCATTTCAGCAAACAGTCATGTGCTCAAAAAGGTTTTGGAGTGATATAATGCTATGCGGAATTTACTTTTTGTACAAGGTTTGTACAAAGATAAGTGGTCTTATTAAAGTCAATCTAGGCTTTTAAGTACGACTAAAGAACTACGCACGCAAACTTTCGATTCCCGCCTACTTTTTACACCCATTTAATTCAATACTAATGGCAATTTGGCCATAAAATCTTTGTTGAATGCAAAGAACAGTTCAATGGTAATTCACTGATAATTTTAATACCAGTGTTAAATAGTTATTTACCCCTAATTCCAGCTCTTTAAATAAGGGGGGTAGACGATATTTTTCATTGAAATCGGGCTTTAAAGCATCACCACATTTTAAAATATTCATGGAAATGAATAAACGTTCCTTAAATCTTTTCTTATGTTTTACTCATATAAAATTAAACATATATTATTAATAAAATACAATGTTTTAGTTGTAAACCCCTTTGAAATTGTTGAAAAAATAAGCATTTTTGTGGTTTTTTGTCTGTAAACATATGCCCCCCCCCCCCCACCCGTGAAACACAAAAAGCTTTGGTATGAAATTGTGAAATGACAGTTCATATTACCTGTAAAAAGGAATTTTTGTTTCACGGGGGTGGGGGGGGGGTTGATGTTTTAAAAATATTTTCCGTTTTCCGTTGATTTCTATAGTGAAAAACACAAGTTTTACCAAAATTATAGAGTTATCTCTCTTTGTTTTCCCAAAGAAGTAATGTTTTATGTAAATGCATATAAATATCTATATAGATATGAAAAATCATTCAAATGTAATAACTTCTGAAAACTGACTTTGAGGTAGGCGGGAGAACAATACTATCGTTCGCAGTTCTTTGTTTATGTTGTTAATTGTCTTTATGCCTTACACACACATCAAAGCTAGCTATAAATTGAGATATTAAAGAAATGCCCCTGCTAATTATCTCTTGGTTATCGTTGTCTGGTTAAGAATCCCCCTAAATAGAATTCTACCCAACCCACTCTACTCAGTTTAAGACAGTGCAGTACTTGGAGTAATATGTGGTAATGACTAATGAAACTACCTTATAAGTCATATCTCAAATAATCTTTAAGCTTATCCACAAGGTCCGTTGCAGTAAACCTGTTGTTCAAAAAAAAAAAAAAAAGAAAAAAAAAACAGCCCTACCCTAACACCAGAACCCATGACCCAGGCTTGTTGAAAAAAAAAAATCCTTTCAAATATTTCTACAAAACACGAAGGTAATTAAAAACTGAACACCAACATATTAAAAAAACCATAGACGAAATTAAAATAATAAATCAGTATTTATCTTCAAAGTTTCCTCATTGAAAATAAAGTACGTGTGAAATCTAATCTAATAATCCTGCAATCAATATATTTTAAAAGCTCCAGTATGGAAGACGCCACAGTCATGGCCACTCAATAAGGGTATCGGCATTACCAAGTTCTCAGGAAGTGACGTCCAGCTTAACTGTTCAACATACGGGTATCCTAAACCCAAAACAACGTGGTTTAAGGACGGGGATATGTTTCATGAAAAATTACGACATAAGGTATGTAATTTTTCATATTGGAAATCTAATTGTTGAAATATGAAGATAAAATAATATATCTCTCATTAATATTATAAATTTTTGTTATTGTGATCAAAATCATCGAATGTATTATTTTGAAAGTATTAATTTTAAGATAAGTGTTATTGTTATTGGTATGATTGAATTCCTTACCATCCGTAAACAGCAATCAGATAAAAATATTGTTTAATATAAATAATCTTTATAGCAATATATTGTAATAAACATGATATAGAGAAATATAACCGTTATTCCACATAATTAAGAAAATGAAATTTTTCCTCTTTCTTGTTTTGAATCAGAGTGCATTGTATTTTCTTTGATCTAACAAAACACGAATTTAATGCATTATTATACACCTTAATCAACATGTATCATACACTAAAAAATCAATTTTAGAGAGATAGGAATGAAAAAGTTGAAGATAACGAACAGTGACCGATCTCAAAACATCTACAGACAATACAAATCTGTGATCAGGGCATAAAACACGGATCCAAAGAAATTCTAGAGGTGGGATCAGGTGCCTAGGAGAAGTAAGCATACCCTATTGACAAGTCACACCCGAGCCCGAAGTATTGATCAGGTAGACGGAACACTCCGTATTCATTTTAGTATAAAAACAAAGGCCTAACAATTGGTATGAAACATACGACCGAATAATAGATTGTTTACAAGGTAATCATAACGACCACAGCATTTACGGAACGCCTACTTTAGACAAGGTTGTTGAAATCTCTGTAACATCAACTTGTCAGTCAGTAATCTGTCTTTGTTAGAAAAATTTTTCGTTTTCAGAGCATGCTCTTGAGTATCGAATAAGTTGGGAAACATATACACTATACGCATGTGAGAGCAGAATATTACTACATAAATAAGGAAAATTGACGATTGAAAAGCTGAAGTCATCTCGTTTGTCAAACAAGTTAGTTGTTGTTTGGTCCCTATCGTCTATAGTCAAATGAAACAGATGTGGCAATCTCTGTGGTATCTTTTATTTAAAATTCACTGGTATATATTGATTTGACATATGAATAGAAGTAACTATTGTTAACTGAGAAAACGTCGTCGATATATCTGAATGTCGAGTTTAAGGCCACGAGTGATTTTATCTTTTCATGTAGAAATTTTTGAATAAACTCTGCTTCATTGGAATATAAAAAAGAACTCGTCTTAAAAAGGAGCAGAATTAACACCAATCGAAATTCCAATAATTTGTTGGAAGAAGTTATGAAGCATTAAAAATTAATAGTCAATACATTTTTGTCATATCTGAAGGAAAATTTATGAATTTACCTTTGCAATCTTTATGAAATAAGTCCTCTACCAAAATTGTGAAATTCATGACCCCAGGGTCAGGTTTTCTCGTGCTAGAGGTGGGGCTATATAAATCATATAATGAAAGTGCATTATTTCTTTGAAAATCTTCTTATCTTTTCCTGGGTATTAAACAAACTAACTAAGTACATAGTTATGATAAGCACGAGTGCTTCTTCTATACTTGTGAAATTCATTGCCCCTGGGTCAGGTCTTAGGGCGGGCCTACATTGATAATATAGAGAAAATGCATTAATTCTTCGAAAATCTTCTAATAATTATGATAAGCAGGGATACCTCTTCCAAAATTGTGAAATTCATTGTCCTAGGGCCAGGGGTTCTGGTGAAAAGGGGGGAGGCTCTATTGATTATATAGTGAAAAAGGATAATTTCTTTGAAAATATTCTTCTCTGCTCCTAGTTACAAAGCAAAGAAACTAAGATAATAGTTATAATGAGCAAGAGAGCTTCTTCCAGTATTGTGAGTTTCATGGCCACTGGGTCAGGGGTTCTGGTGTTAGGGCAGGGCTCTATTGATAACATAGTGAAAATGCTTTAATTCTATTAAATAGTCCTGTCTGCACCTTGGTGTTAAGCAGGTACACAAAGTGCATAGTTAATATGATCAAGGGTGCTTCTTACAAAATTTTCAAAAGTTTTGTTCTCAGGGTCAGGGGTTCTGGTGTTTCTCTTGGAAGGGGGGGGGGTATATTGATAATATAGTGAAAATGTGTTGATTCTTTGAAAATCTTCAACAAAGTGTTTAGCTATGATGATGAGGGTACCTCTTCAAATTTTTGAATTTCATGACCCTGGGTCATGGGTTCTGGTGTTAGGGTAGGCTGTGTTGAATCTGTAGTGAAAATTCATTATTTCAGTGAAAATCTTCTCTGCTCCTGGGCATATCGGAAGCAAACATTTGAATAGTTTTAATGAGCAAGGACATTTTTACCAGATTTTTTAACATTTGGTCCTGACCAGGGCTCTATCTATTTGTATTCTACTGAGAAAATTTAATCCCCTTTGCCATTCACTTTTGATAGTTAATCACTGTAAGTAATGCATTTGAAAAGTTAAAAGAATAAGTGAATTATGCAAGAATTTTTATTGTATAATACAAAAAGTACTTCTATAGTTTGAATGATCAGGTGGACTTGTATATAATATAGATAGATAAAAAATAACTTATCTTATTAATGTTTTCCTTCAAAGAGCAAGAGAGACAAATGTGAGAGGTTATAATATGGGTTAAAAATAGTACAGAAGCACTAATAGTTTGTTAATAGTCTGCATAGTGATAAATGGGGACAGATTATAACTTAATTTTTAAATTGTTACTGAATACTGGACTAATTATTTCATTGATCCTGATCATCCTATTTCTCTTGCTTTTGGGTAACAAAGCTTCATCTATCAGTTTATTTTATACTCTGGGATCCTCTAAATTGCTGTATTATACTCAGATGACCGTTAAGGCCCTTGGGCCTCTTGTTTAAAGTTTATGTCTTAAGATACCAGTTAAAAGTTTTAAAAATTTATTTTGCGTCAAATAAATTTTAGACAAAAGCTAGAAATGGTTACTTGAGACTCAAGGTTCTCCAGAAATCAGACACTGGAAACTATACATGCTTGGTCCAAAATTCAGAAGGCAGTCTTAACTTTACCTTCCGTTTAAATGTTGTAGGTAAGATTGCGTTTTTGTAAATTTCTAAAAAAAAAAAAAAAAAAAAAAAAAAAAAAAAAAAAAAAAAAAAAAGAAACTAAGTAAATCACAGTAACAAGTATTAGCACTCAAAAAGCAAATAACAACTTCTCATTGTATTTTCTTTCAAGTTAACAACTACAGCGACAGCATAATATTAAGCTAAATATTAATTAGATGGCGTAAGTAATTGAGTGTATTAAACGACTTATTTTTATCTACATTATATTCAGATTTCGATGACATATTAATTATGTGGATACATTAAATAAACTTACATTTAACGGTTTAAAGTAAAATCTTCTCTTGATGATAAATTTAAAGATACTGCATTTGACGAAGACAGTTATTGTATATTGCTTTAAACCAGTGTTATCATACATTTAGAAATATCCCTTCTCGTACTGGTGGATAATCCGAGGAGAGTTACAGTGCTGGAGGGAGACAGGGTGGTCCTCCGTTGTATGGCTTTGGGTGACTCTGATGCCAATATACACTGGGAAAAGATGGACGATAGCATTGTTGATCCTGAAACACACAGTAGAGATGTATGTGTTTAACCCAAGTTTTCTGAGTTATTCAAGTCTCAATTCTCTTATCTATGATTTTCGACAAAAAATTAAGATAACTCTTAAATTTCATCTGTTCATTTCACATCATTTTTTCCGCAATCAATGATCTTTCAATTTATGTCTATGTTAAATTTAAAGTTTTTGTATTAATCTCATCCTAATTTAATTCTGTCAAATGATATGAATTTCGTACAATGTTTTATTTTAGTTCCTTCCGTGCAATGACCCAGAAATTGTGTTTGAGAAAGTACAAGTCAGTGACGCAGGGAAATATACCTGTACCATAGAGTATTCTACTACGTATTCTATCGAAGTAAAGTCTGCTGTTTTCTTGTTGACAGTAAATAAAGACAGAATTGTCACAAAAACCAAACCAGCAGTATCGATGATAACTCCAAAACCTATTTTTACAGATCCCAAGATGAATGGATTAGATGATGAAGAATTTTTCGGTATTGTACTAACTCATTATTTGATCAGAAGCACTTTTAAGCATACTAATATTATTACAAAAGTAAATTTAAAAATCACTTGGTTTAGGAATTAATGAAAATCCCTGCTATAGTGTTATAGTGTATTGTCTATGAGTGAACAAACCATTGCACCCATTAAGAAGACTTATATAATAGGTATTGAATGCGTTGATCACTTATGACGTCACTATGAAATTACCTAGATCCTTTATATGACTAAACAATCAATTTATGATCCCATGACGAACCTAGTTTTACACAGTTGTAAAAGCGTCTTGTTCAAATGTGTTATATAAGGGAATCATTTGCGAATGTAAATATTTTGGCATAAATAATCTACATCTAGCTTTATAATATCTACCTATATAGGTATTCAGTTTGGTATTTTAAGAATAAACGGTGCAATATTCTACCAATTTGTTGATGCAATGTACTATTTCTTTCTATTAAGTTAATTCATTGTATGAACATCAACATTATTTTTTTTTACTTTCAAAGGCAGTGGAGTTGATGAGAACTATGATGATGGAATTCTTAGACCGAGAGTAATTAATACTCTATCCAACTTTAACTACAGTGAAGGTGTGGTTCTTTCTCTGTCTGATCAAAAGCATGATTATTGGGAGCATTTTTGAATGAATGTACAGCTGTGTTTAGGAATTGATCTGATCTCAACAAAAATTCATTATTCGACGAAGTATTGAACGTTTTCGTTATAACTTTCCTTGTACATTTAACCGAATACTGTAAACCAACTATTATTCGCGTGCGAGAAATATCCGCGAGTTTGGTGATCTACTTTATCTCGCGAATATCGCCGCGAACCATTTATTTTGCTTTGTATTTGTAGAGGATGTTTGCCCAGTAGCGACAATTAATCGTAGCGGATTGATTTCAAATTGACGAATCGGGAATTAAAGACGACGCGAATAATAGTTGGTTTGCAATATAAAAGATGATACAAACTCATATGTACTTTTGTTTTTAAATTTCAAGTATTGGTTTCGTTTTATATTAATGTGTCATATTTCAGTACTTAAACTAATTATTTCACTCGGCGTTCTTTAAATCATAATAGAAAAGCATAAAATGTTTTATGTTTTTTAAAGACATTTTTTTTTTGTAAAAACAGTTATATTTCCTCCAGCATCTTTTTAAAAATCAATTTCTCTTTTTCTTGTCAAAACATCCCTTTTAGAGGACGAATTCCTGACAACCAAACAAAAATTTACTATAGTTAACCATAGTTTACTGTAGTTAACAATAGTAAATACTTTGATTTACTATAAAACTTTATATACTCTTGAATTAGGATTTAGAGACAAAATAATTCTTAAATTATATATCAACGATGTATTTTTTTGAAATAATATGTGAATATACAAGTAATAATTCCTTTTAATATACGGATAGATATACGGTAGGAGTTTTAGAAAATGAAATACAAAAATTTGAAATTGATGGTCAAAAAAGTTTGATTCACTTTAGCTAAAACTTTGATAAAAAACTTTGATACTATAGTAAACTAAAGTTAACTGTAGAATTTTTTTTTATGTTAGAGAAGGACCAATTTCTACTAAACAACAACAACAGTATCCAGGACTCCCCAGCAGGAAAACCGCCCCATACAGATGAGGAAGGACTTATGAAAGCAAGAACAATTGACGTCATCTTGGGTGTGGTGGCGGGCGTTGCACTCTTGGTGGGATTGGTGGCTATAGTGGCGATACTTTATCGATATCGTTTGAGGAGCTTAACAGTTACAGAATAACCTTTGGAAGATGGGAAATTTCTAATTTCTTTTCCAAGAAAACTTTAAAAGCAGTTTTTTGGGGCCTGATGTAGTGCACGTCAATTTTAACAACATCGTTTCAATTTTTATCAGCATATTCAGTACTAAAAATATCTGTTTCAACAAGGCCAACCAAAATAGTATCATGTTATAATAATGTTAAAAGAAATTGAAACTTGATGTAATAATCTAATGTTGTTAGGTCATTTGAGTTCTCTGGTGAAATTGCAATCTGTTTGTGTGCATTGTCTTGTGACGTGTGTTGTTCGTTAAAACTTGAACATGTTCAGCTTGTTCTCTTGAACCGCCCTGACAATTTCAATGGAGATTTTGGTATATTGCATGTATGGGCAAATAAAAAACAAATATTCTAAATTTCATGGTCTCTGCCTTCTTGCGGCCTGAGTGATTGAATAATAAAAAGGGGCCACACAGCACAGTGTTCAGCGTAAATGGAAACACACAGTTTGTAAACACGATGTTGCTATAAAATTGGTTGATAGCATTTTTGTTGAAATGTCAAATAATGCATGTTATGTTATATTTTCCCAACAACGGACTAGAATACTCTGTTTGAATAAGTATGACATGTATCAAAACAACTGCTATCATATATTGAAGTTATTTATTCCTTTAACCAACTTTACTCTTAAGATAAAAAAGAAAACTTCAGAATACTTTTCAAAATTTATCCGAATTCTTGCAATATTACCAAGAGAAAAATATCAAAAGAAAATAGCTCTGGCAATTAGCTCCAATATTTACAACAAAATTAAAGTACAAAATTTTATTACGGTCTGTCACTCATTAAAACTTTGCAATCTCTGCGATTTTCTGAATCAAATCTTTCAAAGATTTGAAATCGTCATGACCGAATATTTTAGAAAAAAAGTTTGAAAAGAACATTTGTTTATATAGAGGAAAAGATTTTAATATGTGTATATTGTTCATCTCTTAATCTATTAGAAAAATGGTACTTTTTCGAGTGGTTTTAATAAAGATGCTTTTAAAGTCTATTTATTAAGAGTGGTCCTTGCTTAACATTACAAAAGAAATGAAACAAAATGTCAAAATTAATAGTTATAAATATATTAACCTGATTATCTGTAAAATTATTGTTAATTCATTGTCAAATGAGGTCTTCAACTATCTTCCCTTAGATAAAGACTATTATGAGTGTGTATGATCTCAGATTTCAGCCGGAAAAACTCTATACTATGTCGACATCCTCAGCTATCTTCCTTCAATTACAGTCTATTTTCAATGTACGCGATTTGAGATTTCAAAAGTTCAACCGGAAAAAATGTATCATATGACATTCACACTTACGGTAAGGAGCATAAATTACAATAAACAAGGTCGATAAGTATTAAGACATTTCAAACATAACATAACTGCGGCTTTCTTCATAGTTAAATGATTTGATTTTTTTAAAAACATTTATCATTATGTTACCTCTACAACATTTATTAACCTTGTTGCTGGTGTGTAACATTTATGCTGCATTGCCAGTGGATGGTCAAAAGATTAAAAGAGGTAAGTTCTATCAAACACATCGTTCAATTTTGATTTAGAATATGAAATATCATCATGTTCAATATTCAACCAAAAATATAGATTGAGAGCAGTGCAAATACGAGCCAATGAAAATATCAGAGGTTGGATCAGGTGTCATTGGAAAATAAGGATCCCCTTTAGACCAGTCAAGTCCACCGTGAGCCCTTTGTCTTGTTCAGATAAAGGAAGCAAACAGTGGACAAATTAATATGAAATAATGATCTAACAATCTGTATTAAAAACGTAAGTCAGTATCAACCCAACATGCTGTATTTGCAGACAAGGTTATTGTTTCGACCATAGAATTTGCGAAATGTTGATAATAAACAAGATTGCTGATACCCTTGTAACATCAACTAATTTATCAGAAGCCTGCTTCGATTTAAAACTTCACGCATTGAAATTGCTTTTACTACCAAATGAACTGAAACACACTGACACCAAAGCAGGTGATAATCAGTAAAAAGGGAAGTTGATGATAATAAAGTTGCACATCAAGTTAATCAAACCGAAGCACATTGACACCAGTGTAGATGATATTCATTAACAAGAGAAGTTGATGATAAAAAAGTTGCACACATCAAGTTAATCATAAAGTTTATTTGTAAGTTGACCATTAATATCTTTTTCCATTAAAACATCCAAATATGAATATGAATTTAATATACTTGCGAATTGTCCTGCAATTTTTTTTGTTTATTATTTGGAGATGTATCATTTAAGACATCTTAATTGTACTGTAAAATTTCTCTTCGGCTACCATAAATATAAATGTACAAAATCATGCATATTTTTGAAAATCTACATTGTTATATTTTTTGGACTCATCATTTCCAGTGCATAGTGGAACATTTTGCCTGCAGTGTATAAAGCTACCTTAAAAGTCTATTATTTACTTAATGTTACATGAGGAAATTCAATTAAATGCATAAAACATCTGATTACTTATAAAAAGCCAGTTAAGTTATTGTCACGTGAAATTCATCGAGATCCTCAACTATCTTCCTTCAATTACAGTCTATTTTCAATGTGTATGATTTCGGATTTCAAAAGTTCAACCGGAAAATGTATCATATGACATTCACACTTACAGTAAGGAGCATGAAAAAAATAAGAAGGTCAAAACGTACATAGGTAAAAGGCTGACATAAATGTGGCCGTTGCAACTATTAAGGGACCCAGGCCCAGTTTCCTGATCAAATGTTTCTCAATCTGCTTTTCTATAGAATGGAGCAGAGAAAGTAGGACTATTTGTGAAATGGTAAATCTTTTTTTCAAAATACTGTCCTACATTGAAAGAACAGAAGTCAAGGGAATTTAAATGTTTAAAAATATGTTAAAGATCCCTTATTTATTTCAAACCTGTATCTGACATTCTTTTGATAAGTTAATCTTTGATTTCCCCGACGTAAACAAGTTCACAAATAGTGCATTCAATTTCACAGACTACTGCAAAATTCATAACTAGGACATCCATCAGAGAATTAATCATTGAAGTATATTGGTTCCTCAATTGAGATCCTATGTTCACTAATGATATACACCAAACAAGTTGATACAATTAAATAAGAGAAAATCTATCACAGGATTTCAAAACTCAAAAATAAATATGCTATGTTCACCTATTCTTAACAGCCCCAAAATGGAAACCCAATTCTAGACCATACAATGGAGATAAAAAGATTGCCACAACATCAGGAAGTGACATTAGAATGAGCTGTCCAGCATACGGGTATCCTAAACCAATAGTAATATGGTACAAAGAGGATAGCCTGTTTGGTGCTAGCCAGAGGCCAAAGGTACGAGATTACGAATTACAGTATAATTTTACTCTGCTTTGTTTCTGGGCATGGGTAAAGGATTAGATTTTAAACACTGCCATTTAAGCTGCAGAAAACTTTGAAAAAAAAAAAAATCCTACAATACGTTAACAGGTTAATATTCACAAATACGAGGGTTGTTCGGGAAAAAAAACGTGGACAAAGTTGTCATTGAAAATTAATGCGTCCGATAAGCTGGAATTTTCAGCAAACATTATTTATTATAAAATCTCAGTACATCTTAATTTTTTGATAAAATATAGACAAAAATAATTTTTTATAGAGGATGTTGAAGTAAAAATTATAAGTTTTTGAAGTCAATATCGATTTTGTCAACATTTGAAAATTTCAAGGCGTATAATTTTTCCGCGTCAAAAAAAGATTACGTGTTTAGTTGAATATAGTGAGAGCACTGCTCTTACTATAACTTACTGTCCAACTTACTAATACAAATCTTCAAAAGTTCCCATAAGTTTGCGAGATTGGTCCCTCGCCTGTTTATAGAGGACGAAAGGACAATTTATTAAATGCATCAAATTTTCGAATTATAAGTGAGGGTCATTCAATTTTTTAAAGCAAAGACGAACCGTGAGGTTGTTATAGACACCTTGACGTTAACATTGGTGGCGATACCACACATAACATATTTTGTTGATTTGAGCAAACATCTATTTGAAATTTATTATTCATATTGATGAAAAATGCATTAAAGATTAGTGCAAATTTTAGAAGGCAATGATGATTATTTTTCATTCTGGCAAACTTTTGAACAATTTTACGGATCAGCACTCGTATTATTGTAATAAAGTACTGCTTTTTCCTAATGAGGAGTAGGGATCAAAGTTTGATTCCTTTAAACTATAATCAGTAGGTACAGTCAATCTTAATTTAAACGGGACTAAGCGAGCGCTCTACCGACTGAGCTCAAGTGACGGCAACATCTTTCAATTAAAAAATGGGGATAAGACATCTTGGTTGAATATAATTTTACAGGAAAGAAAAATGCTATTCTCATATTGATTTTTATAAGGTTAAAGTAAGGCCAAAACTAGAGTGGTCAAAATGTACAAAATACAAAATTTTGCAAATTATGATCCGCCATAGCATTCACATCCAGAAACATGAACTTATATATACTAGTACTTCTTCGTTACTCTTAATTTTCAAGTAAATTCTTATTTGTACTTCATTAGTAGTTAGGTTGCTTTAAAGGGGCATATATGGCAAAAATGTGCAGTGTAACGCAGATCGGTTTGAAAAACTGAATTGTGACTACTATAAATAGATGATCAGTTAAAAATTCTAATAGTCTTAAATATCACTATTCAGGGTTCTAATCTTTTATGTTTTTATTTTGTATATCAATGTCTGTTACTGTGTTATTTGACACATTTCAGACAAAGATCAGACGCTTTTCCCTGGATTTTAATGATGTACAGACATCAGACAGTGGGAAATACAAATGTGTGGTCCAAAATTCAGAGGGCAGCCTAGAATTCACGTTCTTTGTGGATGTTAAACGTAAGCGTATATTTGTTTTCGTTAGATCAGAATGTATAATTTACTATCTTAAATTTGATTTTTTTTTCCATAACTGACAGCGATTAAGCAAAAGATTATCATAAAGAAGATTTTATATTTGAGAAACAGGACATAAAATTTGCTTCCGTTTCTTAATATGATATATATCAGTCTATTTACAATCCCGTATTTAGCAATCCCGTGGCCACTAGAGTTGGAGGAGCCACTGAATGCCACAGTGATGGAGGGAGAGAGGGTGGTGTTCCGATGCCGCGCCTTGAATGACCCAGATGCCACCACTGAGTGGATGAAGCGGGACACTGACGGTGATTCTGCAAGTGGATTCGATACAAATGTATGTGTGTACTTAACCATATCACCGCACTACTCAATATTTAAATAAATATAAATAATAAATAATATATATGTTCCTATAATAATAAATGTAAATAAATAAACTACGTGACAAATAAATTGCAGAGTAACACCAGTATTAGAAACTATTAATCTGGGAATTGTCTACAGCTTTTGAGATTGTATACTTAAATGATTTTCCTTGAAGCTGTTCTGTAGCTTTTGTAAAGATACAAAATCTTTTTAAAATATTATTTTCATACTGTGGGCAAGTAGTGTCTTTAGAGTCTCTAATAAATTTGAGACCTAACTTCTATCAATGGTCCATCATCTGATTTTGCACTTTCTTTAGATAATTTTCTAGGGCGTCTTTTGTTCCCTGCTTCCGCGAAAGAGCGGGGGCTTGAATCTCATTTGTCGGTCTATCTGGCGTCGGTCTAGCTGTCCATTCATCTGTCTGTCACTCACAAAACTTAAAACTTGGTCAAACCTTTGAATGAGGGAAGATAGGGCTTTCATATTTCACATCTGCATATATGTGACAAGACCTTTCAGAATGAATAATTATTTTTCACCTAATTACTTTAAAACTTTGACCTCCTTTTCAGAATTTTTAACTTAAGTAATAACTTTTGAATGAGAGAAGATAGGGTTTTTATATTTCACATGTGCATTACGTAAGAAAAGACCTTTTTGAATATACTTTGATATTAGACCTCATGGTCTTGACCTTGAATTATGATTCTAAAAAATTCTTAAGTAACGAAAAAGGTGAATATAACAGTGATCGATCTCAAAGACATCTATAAACAATACACATCTGTGGAAACTCCCGAGGTGGAATCAGGTCGGTAGGAGGAGTAAGCATCACCTGTTGACCGGTCACACCGCCCTATGTATTGATCAGGCAGACGGAACATTCAGTAGTCAAATTCAGTATGAAAACAAAGACCTAACAATTGGTATGAATTACGTCATCCAAAATACAATGATAGGTTATACGAGTATTTGCTTACATGATCATTATAACAACCATAGAATTTACGAAATGTTGATTTTAAACGAGGTTGTTGAAATTCCTGTAATATCAACTTATCTGTCAGTAGCCTACCTCGGTTTAAAAATTGATCGTCCTTGGAGCATGCCCTTGAGTATCGAATAACTTAGGAGATGTAAACACCAGATGCAGGTTATAGCGGGATATTATTACATAAAGAAGGGAAGTTGATGATGGAAAACAATTTAGTTGTTTTAGTTGTTAGTTGGCCATTATCCTTTATAGTCAGTAAAACATCCAAATATGAAACAGATGTGGCAGACTCTGTGGTGTCTTTTATTTCAAGTTCACCGTGATATATCGAGTCGACATCTGAATGGAAGTAATTTATTATTTAATAATACATGTATGCAATACCCGTGACAATACCTTTCTGATTGTACTATTGTTTTTGATTCTAACGTTGATCATTGATCTACTCTTCAAATATCTTAACCTTGGCCGAAGCTTTTGTACCTGAAAAGATAGGCTTTCACATTTTACCTGTGCATTACCTGTATCAAGGTCTTTCCAAGTGTACTGTGAATTTTTACATTATGACCTTGAAGTTTGACCTACTTTAAAAAAAGTACCTAGTTGTTAAGTTTCCCCTGAAGATATTACTTTAAAAATATATAATTTTTTAGCATGATGAACAGACAACACAGTTCTCATATGCTAATTGGTTCATTGAACCTCAACAAACAAAACCCCTAGAGCGGGGGACCACAATTCTCTGAATTTACTTCTTATCATTTAATTTTGATATCCTTTTTTGCATTCTTTCTTTTTTTAATTTTAGAATTTTCTAAGCAGTGGACCAGAAATGGTTATTGAAAATGCTAGGACAGAAGACGCTGGAAAATACACATGTCTGGTAGGGAATTTGTTTGGGATAAAGTACGCTAATGTCTGGCTGACAGTTAGGCATACCACCACCACATCATCAGCTTCTACAAACCCCACTAACAAAAAATCAAAAACTACCACCTTAACAACTACAGAGCAACCAACAACTTCAAGTCCTGTGATATCATATTCATTTTTAACAGGTATCATAAGTGAAAAAGGTTTTGATGTACTATTCACTGTATTAGCATAAAATCCTAGATTTCTTATTTCACAACTGTTGAAAACTACGGAAAATTAATTGTTTTTTTTTTCAAGTAAGTGATCATTCGGTGTATCATTTAGATGTGTATTCATATATTCTTTCTTCATTTTTTCATGCAAGAAATAGCACGGAATTGTTTGCACAAGTTATATAACCTGAGAGAATGATTTGTTACATATAATAAGCATGTTTTGAATTTCCCACAGAGTGCTTTTTCTCGAACTTTTTCCTTCAAATGAAATGTAGCGCTCGCTTCGTGATCGGGAGGTCGTGAGTTCGAATCTCGGCCGCGACTGACCTAAGTCAATAAAAAATGGGTAGCAGCTGTTCCTTCGCCATGCGCTCGGCACTTTGAAGTGAAAGTTGCGGGTCCTTCGGATGAGAGGCCCCGTGTCACGATAGGCGTTGGCACGATAAAGATCCCTCACTGCTCAATGGCCCTGAGTGCCGAGTAAAGGTCAAAATTTGAAGCCCTTCACCGGTATATGGTGACGTCTCTATATGAGTGAAAAATTTCTCGAATGGGACGTAAAACAACATAAAATCAATCAATCAAATGAAATGTAATAGATGAAGATAAGACAGTTTTGCTTTAGAATTGAGAGAAAGTTGTTTTGTTTGTATTTGTAAAAGACTGTAAGTAACCATTTAAGAAATATCTAGGCTACTAGCCAACATTTCGGTGGCGAGGCGATTTTATTGGCTAATCGAAAGGTCGCTCTGATCTGACCCTTCAAGGAATGTTTTTAGATGTTTGAGATGTTTCCATTCACACAAAATATATGATATTGTTTCCTCTTGGCAGGAAATTTCACCAAAAAGAATCAGACCGACAGAAACACTTCTCTCGCCTGCCAGAGTCTTCTAAAGATCAATGAGGAAAAAGTTAATCTGCAGAAAAGGACAGTGGACATTCTGGAGGAAATGCTTATTATACAAAAACAGAAATTGACACTTTTGCAAAAATCGCTTACATGCTAATCCACATACTTTTCTATACTTCATTATCTTTTTATGTACATAAATTTGTAGAGAAAGTGACGCAGCTTGAAGTGTAATAACCCTCTACTCTAAATTTCACCATTTTCTTAATTCCCAACATTGGCTTTCATCAACAACAATAGCGTTAGATTCAAATGGAAAATGAATTGATGTATGAAGCTTTGCTTACTTTTTCAGAAATGAATATTATGTCTAATCATGATATGAAGAAAATTTGAGACAGTGAATAGGAAGATCAATAATTTACATGTATTATCTCAACATAAAATTAAAAATATGAGATATAAAGGAAAATAATATTTAGTGTCATACATATTAAATTCATATTGTAAACATAATGAAGCGTTGCTTTTTAAAACTGAATATCACATTGTTATCTGTGTTGTAAAAAAACATCCATCTACAAGAGTTATCATTTCATCTACAAGAGTTATCTCTCTTCAAAATATTTTCAAAGGAAAAAAATGTACCAATAATGACAATTCTATATCTGGTACATGATAAATAACATTTTAAAAATTGTTAATTAATATATATATATATATATATATATATATATATATATATATATATATATATATATATATATATATATATATATATATATATATATATATATATATATATATATATATATATTAACAGTTTAAAGAACTGAGTTCAACATTTTTTAGTTCAAATATTATAACTAACTATCAAAAAATCGGCAAAAGAAAAAAGAAGTCAATATTTGTAACATAACTCAGCCTTGAATGAATTGACTACATAATGGTCCTCATTATTAAACTCTGGAAGGACAATTCCCTGGACAGCTTGCAATTATTTACTTGGGAAGTTATCTCTCTTATCAGAGGTCAATCCACCTTAAAGTAACCTGCTGTAATATTTTATTGTAGTTATTGTAATTGTACATGTAATAAACACATCCGTAGCCGTATCTTCGTATCCTTCTATGATACACCGTAGCTTCATCATTTTCACTGAACGCTAAGCCTTATTTCCATTGCTTTCTTGGATCATCCAAACTAGGTTACCTAGTAAATAATCAATGATTTTCAAAGTTTACTAACAATAGGAAGGGGTAGATCGATTGTTCTTTGTGCACAAAATCTACGAAACTTGATTCTCACAGAGAGTGATGACAACACATTATTATTTACAATCCTACATAGGAATCCTTATTCAAATCAAAATTCACATCATTCACGGATGATGTTTCTACCCTAATGTTTCGATACCTGTAGATAGTTAGTTGAATTTATTTACATTCGTGTACTTACTTACAAAGAGTAAGTACGTACTAAATCATATACTTCCTTTACGTAGTTGCTGCAGTGGTCCCTGTATTCCCCTTTTTTGTCGATGTCATCGAAGATAAAATTCTGTTGATATATGTTAAAGAGAATTGGGTCACACAATTACATAGGAGGTGCAGCTTTAATTTTGTTGATATATGAAGAATAATTTTGTTGACATATCAGCACCTAGTAATAAACAATTAATAATTGTACCTGAAAAGATAGGCTTTCATATTTTACCTGTGCATTACCTGTATCAAAGTATATATGTATATCATGTATACAGTGTCAGACCGACAGGAACAAGCAATACTGGGCTACAGGGACTTTCATTTTCGTCTTTCTGTGATTTGCATTTTATGATGCGTAATCTGTAAAATGTTAACATTTTTTGACAGAATACATTGTGGTTTCATACAATGATTCCAAATAATACAAAGTATCATTTACATCTTTTATAAATATGGAAATACATGTATCTTTTGTTCTGAAAGGGGGCATTCTAGCATTATTGTTTGATCTGCTCATGTAAAAACATACATCAGTTGATGGTGTTTCATTTTTGGTGCAGATAGCAAATATTTTGACACCCCTCCATTAGCTTTCTTCATTTTTCTGAACAGTGCTGTCGCGGGGGGGGGGGGGGGATATTCCCTCTCCACCAGTGCATTTATTAACTTTTATTTCATGAAATACACTCTTGCGTTTTTTGTTTAATCTTTAGTCTATAAAACTCCACTATAACCCCTTTCTAAATGTTACTAAAATTATGTCGGAAAAGTTGGTGAGAGAAGGCTAGAAAGTCTAGGTGCTTGGGATATGGAGTGATCCTTGACATGTGGTCAAGTTTTTAAAAGTTGATTTAGAAAAAGTTTCCTTTCTTTGTCAATTAACTTTGGTCTAAGACTGTTTTAAGTTTTCCTTATTCCAAATTTCAACTTGAGAACAGGAGACAGAAGGATGCAACTCTTAATTTGTTTGAACCTTAAATATCAAGCACAGAATGAAAACGAAGTAAATTTGCATTCTGAAAAACAAATCAAATTATATATCGTGAGCGTTTCATTTCAAGTTATGCCACTTTTCCAACGTTAGTTGATACAATGTATTTTTACTTTTGAAAAGTCTTTGTCTTGCATTATTAATGGAGGACTAATAGAAAATAAAAGGGGCGTAAGTTCTCTGAAATATGAAAATATATCTTCAGGGTAACATGCAAGTGTTTGTTTCAATTTTCCTTTAAATATTTAATCCAGTTGTGTATTTACAATACATTTGCGATTGATCTAAATATATCTGCCAATGTTTTGTCAATGATAAACGAATCAGTATAATCTGGTGTTATGCGTCGTGCATTTATATCCCAAATATCATCTCGGTGACTCACCTCTGAACTATTTCTTTGTGTCCTTCTTAAGTAAAATTTCGTCAGAAGGCATAGTTAATTTATCGACTTCTTTGTTAATAACTTATGATTTAATCTGTTTGTTATGCACAATTTTATTGGATAGAAAAAAAAAATCGTACATACAGTATAATTTATGCTGCCTACAACACTATGACTTACGTCAATAACGTATCAATCCGGCTGACGTTGGAATTAAGCTTTCTACAATTTGAAGGCATTTTGGAAAGGAAAAGTGATATAAAATTAAATTATAAGGAATAAATTAAACACTTACCCAAATTATACATGTAAAATCTGAGTTGGAACAGTTTACGCTTTTTGATCAAGCACGTATACTGTCTCAACCCTAGCTGCAGAACTGTAGCGTTATGGTTTTACATTTTAGTCTTTGACCATAAGGCTATATTACCAACCTGTGTATTTTTTTTCCACCTAACCCTTTATAGTCGTATCTACATACATCTCAGTGAGATATCGTCAGTGAGTCAAAATGGCTGTTGGAAGACAGAAAATTCATAAAAGTGAATTTATTGGTCTGTAGAGAAGACTATAAAGGTTAGGGGGTGGATAAAATATACAGGTTGTTAATAGAATATGTCTAGAATTAGGATAGAGAAATACATCCCCAACCGTGCGCAGAAAATCTTGCGCCGTAAATAGCACTTTATTTGCATTACGTGTACTGTCGCGTTATGGTCAAAGGCTAATATATAAAACCACAACTCTACAGTTCTGCAGCTATCCCAACCCAAGTTATACAGTATAACTTTAAAGCTATTAAATCCTTTCCTTTAGTAGTTAGATATCATGCTTTCCCCCAAAACAGGTTTGGAAGCATGATAATAAATTTGTATGGAATGAGGAAGACATCGAAGTTCTTTAAAAACTTTAAGAAAATTTAGATTAATTCTGCTTCAGTTTAAATATTCATAGAAGTCGATAAATGTGGATATTTTTATTCAGAGTAGTACAGTAGTTAAATTTTAACTATTTAAACTATAAATATGGGTAGAAAAAGAACATGGAATATTGTAGCATGCAGACATTCACATACTAACATTTAAGAAATTTAAAATGAACACGTTGTCATATGTAAAAATGGTTATTTTGTTGATGTGTGAAGTTTCAATCCATTCGATTTAATAGAAATCAATTTACTTAATTTTAAAATCTAAATGTTTGATTACCCCGGACCACACTAAACAACATCATAGCGTCATGAGGTTCTCAAAAATAACCTAACTATACATTTCACACAGTCTGGTCCAATATCTACTCATTAAAAAAAGTAAAAAATGTTCCAGTAGCATAATTTTATTTGTCAATGTTTTATTTTTTTTAAACGGTAACTGTGCTTTCACATGATCAGCAACTGTGAATTTAAGACCTTAATAACTAAAAGTTTTTGGACAGATTTTTACAGATAATCCGTTTCCTCACAGATCTTCCCTAGTCTGGAACAGAGTCCATATCATTCAAATACCGCCTGGGCCATTTACGCACACATGCACTACTCACTTTTCTTAGAGCATTTTAGAGTTTATTCTGAAGTTTTCCAGAGTACAACACAAAATTGTATCGTATTTATTGCTGCTCAGTGACGTTATACGACGTCACCTTTTAAGCTTTTTCATGAGGACTACTTATCTTCTGAAATTGATTTCTTTTCCACGAAGTAAACTATTGATTCATAATTTGGAATATGAAACGATATAACGAATCTTAAATTTGAGCGTCTAGATTTTTTTTTCGGTTTTGAGCCATTTTACAGAGAATATGACTACAGACATTATTTTGTGGATTGTTTGTAAATTACTAAATTTTGACCTGCTTCGCGATCCAATTTTCGCAGTTTTTAACTCAGAATAAGTTTGAAGTAAAACATCATATTTTAAAAGATTTTAATACAAATCATTAGAATTAATTGTTCAGAAATTTCTACCAAATTTTGATATAATATGACGTTAAGTAAAAAAGATATGACGGAAATCTCGAGAACTTTTCGAACAACCCTCTTACAGGTTTTGTATAGTGTTATGAAACTACGCAGAAATATCTCGTAAGTGATACAAGTGGTCTTTTTCTTTTAAGTGCGACTACAATGGCTCAAGTTGTTTATTTCCTTTTTTCGCAATAAAACATTAAGTTTCAAATTAGTTATGAATTAAGATCTTAAGTAAAATATATAATTGTCTCTAAAATATTTTTCTTTTCTATTTATTCCAGCTTACTTGAGATATAATCAGTTTATCACTTGACGTAGACGATAATGACTTAATGGAATATCTACATTCATTAAATTTTTTTAATAGCTAAAATCATGTTCAAGCTTTTCTACTTTTTCTTTGATTGCACTCTTCTATAGATATATCGTCAACCTCCCTAACTCCGTCACTACCCTAACTCCGCCACTTTCGGGAAATTCCGCGCTGTTTGTAGTGATTGTGACGTCATTCTTTGCATGCTGAAAATGTACAATCAAATGCTGAGAAATTATAACAGTTAAGTTAAAGAACGTCAAAAACAAATTACAAATACATTACGCTCTAATATCTATCATATTTCATGTGAAATCAGTAAAGTCCAGTCCCTTTTAATAATCTTCAATTGTTTGATATGTTGTGTAATCTGG